CATGTGATAATTATAATGTGACTGTATAATTGTATTAAGGAAATTCCATATTTATCTTAAGGTATCTTTAGAATAAGCAATTTTTTGTCTATTCTACTGACTCTAACTTAATGTAATTAGTCTGTGCTGTGGTTTTTTGGCTTGTGCTAGTGCTTTTCTGAAAGCGCTTTTAGCGAGGTCATTCTGCCTGAAGGGAAGACTCAAAGAGTTGTAGCTGAGTCTGCTCTTTGCTGGCCGTGCGTTTCCTGGACCTTTCCTCTGGAGATGCTGCCGTGGTTATTCTGAAGCTTTCCTCTTTGCTGTTCCACCCGGTGAAACGCACCAGCAGAATGCAGCAGAGCAGAGCTCAGCCTGCCTCGGCCAGTCCCTGGGGCATCCAGCTCTCTGGAAGTGCTGCCTTCCACCCGGTGAAACGCACCAGCAGAATGCAGCAGAGCAGAGCTCAGCCTGCCTCGGCCAGTCCCTGGGGCATCCAGTTCTCTGGAAGTGCTGCCCCTCTCTCTGTGGTTCCTCTGCGGTTCCTTACTCCCCCAGCCTGACAGACGTTGTCTGTGCTGCTGGTGAAGCACTACCCCTCTCTCTGTGGTTCCTCTGCGGTTCCTCACTCCTCCAGCCTGACAGACATTGTCCGTGCTGCTGGTGAAGCACTACTCACCTGCCTTTCCTCTCTCTGCTCTCACTGCTGCCTTGGTGCTGTGACCCTTGCCGTCTCCCCGGGTGTGTGGTTTGGGGTGGGGGTTGGGGGTGTCCCCAGGAGGCTGGCTGTTGGTAGAAGCCCTGCAGGTGCAGAGGTGGGGTCTGGGCAGAGCTGCTGTCGGTGCCCCGTGCCACGGGAGGGACGGTGGCAGCCCCGGTGCTGTGTGGGGAGGGCAGGCTGCCAGCGGGGCTGGGGTCCTGGGCAGAGGGGAAGGGCAATCATGAACATAAATATCTGCTGTTGTGTGGGATTCCACAGCAGAGAGTGGGGACAGTGTCTGGGCAGCGTCCCCTTCCCTCGGTGTGGGGGGTGTCCCTGTCCCATCCCTGCCGTGGCCATGTCACAGAGCTCCTCGCTGGGACTGCTCTGCCTTCACCTGCTCCCTCTCCCCCCCTCGGGACATCTGTGCTGGCCCTCACCTCCCCTGCTTGCTCTTCAGTGGGATCACTGCCACCATTGCTTGCCATGGGCCCTGCTAAGGTCCAGGGTGCGCCCCTGGACTTATTTCCCTAAAGCTTCTTTACACATTTCCTGACGGAGCCATCAGCGCTGTTTCAGCCTCGATCCTCAGAGGAGTGGGGCTTCTTACCTCCTTTTGTGGCTCTCAGCTTTAATTTCTGTGCCTCTGCCCCCAGAGACAAATAAAGGTGAGACTGTGCTATCAATCTCCAAAGTTTGTCGGTTTAAATGTCACACAGAAAATACTCGCTGGCTCCTTGTCGAAGTCATCTCCTGCCTGGTTCTGGTGGCCGTGGGTGAGGCTGCTGGGAGGATGCTCACACACGTGGCTCTGCTCTCTTTGGGGTCTGTGGAGGAACTTCATGGTGCTCGGTTCCCCACTTGCAGAGCAGGGAATTGCAGCATTTTCCTGCCCTGTGTAAAGGTGGAGAGATACTGACTCTACAGGGGGGTGAAAATGTACCTAGAGAATTGCATGATCTTGATCTTGAGCAGGTTTTATTTTATTTTATTTTCTCTGTGTGTCTCCAGGAGGTGCAGTGGGCGCAGATGGCTGGAGACAGGCTATCAATCCATCGAATGTTCTAAAAATAATCAGATGCTTCCTTGGCTTCTGCATGGCTGGTGCTGCTGGATGTGGGTTTGGGAGAGTCGTGCCGGCAGCGGGGGGTCGGTCGTTGGGCTTTGGGATGGTGTCTGGGTGCTCGCCCTGCAGCAAGCGGGTCCCTTCCCTGTCTCCTGAAGATGTAAAGTCCTTGCGCCACAGAGCAGGGTGTATTGCTCTGCATGCCTGAGGGGGGAGGGAAAAGAGAGGAAAAATCTACAGGGGGGTGGCAGTGGTGGGGGTACCCACCCTCACCAGGTCAGCCTCTGCCTGGGATATTTTTTTTCTTTATTTTATTTTTTTTGCTGAAGCATTCCCACCCTCACTGCAAGCTCCCAGTAGCATCCCCAAAACTCCCTGGCAGCAAGCCCAAACAGGCAAAGCAAGAATGCAAAAATATGCTAATATAAATAAAAAAAGAAAAAGAGCAATAGGACTAACAGCAAAAAGCACAGTATATTTTTATGTATTGTGTTCTTTTTTCATATAATTATTAGGTGCTGACATTGGCTGAATTTGGAGAGCAGCAAATTTTTAACGGGATCCTTACTTAAATGCATTGTTTGTCCATTAGGAATAACTTTCCTCTTGAAATTACCTATTAATAAATTTAATATTAAAGAATTAATGCTGCTGTAGACACGTAATACAAGCTTTTCACTGTCTGTTTCCATTTCAGTATAGAAAGGGTTAAACTGAGCCTGAAATGTGTATAAAATCAGCTTTGTCATGGTCTGAGATCAGGCTGAGCTCACCACACCAGTGAGGTGTCTGTCTCCCAGCCTATAAAAACCTCCAAATATGTACGTTTTTAATAGTCTGCCTGATTTGGTCTCTGTCTCTACCAGGCAACCAAGATTCATTTTAATCGTATATCCTTACTAATATTTTAAGCAGTTAATGTTAACAAAGAATATCTGGGATTTCTTTCTTGGGAGATACGCAGGAGGCAGAGGGGAAGTGCAGAGTTGGTTTGCTTTGTTTGATGTGGCTTCAAAGCACCAGTGACAACCTGTGAAGTAAATGTGGCTTTTGTTCTCTTACTGCTTAAAGAACTAAAAATTGGAAAGGACCTCTCAGAAATACTGGTTTTCAGTAGCGGTTACTGCAGGTTACGCTGTGACCCTCCCAGCTGGCAGGCTGCTTTTTTTTTCCTTCCTTAAAGCCAACTGGTACATGAAAAATTCTAAGGAAAAAAAAAAAGCGAACGCAGAGGTTGTGCAGTCAGGGCTCCTCAGCACTTTGCTTTGCCCAGTACTGTGTTTTCAAAGTGTAATTTTGAGCCATAAATACGCCTTCCTAGAACATCACCTATGTTTCCTCTGAAGAGGTGGGCTAAATAAGTTTTAAGTCAACAGAGTGGGACCTGATGTTGAATCATTTTATTGTGGAAACGTTCATTAGTTGGTGACCGGATATGAGATCCCTGTGCACTTTTATTAGCAAAAGAAAGACAAAAATCCCCCGAATGTCTTTGTTACTTCTGGTCTCTGGATAACATTGCAATTTTCTGGCTGCCCATCTGTTGTGAATATAATTAATTTTTTTTCAGTTCTTGGTTTATTCCCCCCCCGGTGTGAGCGGCTCTGGAGCTGCGGGAGGTGATGCCCCGAGGCCAGCTCTCACCTCCCTCCCTTGGTCCCTGCTCACCCCACAACAGTGAGGTGAGGGGGCTCCCCCACTTCCCTCTCCTCCTTCCCACCGTCCCGGTGGGTTTAGCTTCTCCGGGTGCTCCGTGGTGGTTCCTGGTGTCTGTGGACCTGGGCCCCTGGGGAGGGTGTGCTGTGGGGCTGCAGCTCCGAGCTTGGGGGTTCACTGTAAACACAGCCCTGACAGAGCCACCCCTGCTCATCTGCTCCAGACCTAAGGGTCTGCCCCAGCTGGGAAGACAGAGATGTGTTGAAGCTCCTGGGAAGCACGTGTTGGACCTCTGGGCAGGACAGTGGGTGCCGTGGGGTAGGTGTCCGTGTCAGGCTGAAGGCTGGACATGCCTTAACCTGTGGGGGTAGAACAGTGTTCTCCTAAAGCCAGAGGTGTCACGGGCTAATCTGCACTTCAGGAGTGACCATTGCTGGGAGACTCCACCTGACGCGTGGGGAGCAGAGAGACCAGATTCTTTTTGATGCGCCGGATGTATTCAAAATTAATGAGTAGGAAAAAGTGCCTTTTGAAGGAATGGACTTTAATTGCTGTGGACTGATGCTCCATAAATATGGAGAGAAAATTATGGTGTTTCTGATAGAACCTAGCATGGCATGTTCTTGGGCTTTTCAAGTAGATTAGTCTATTTCTGCTACATTATCTCTTTTGCTGACATCTGGCAGTTTGTAGCTTATGATCCTTTAATGCAGGGGAAAATAATGGGAACTGATTAGGTCCCAGAGGAATTTTCTCCTTTTGCTGCAAATCATAATTTGTGTGGCTTCCATTTGTTTGTTACACAGCCCATTAGACTAAAACACTTAGTGGGAAGCTCTGGTTTGTGCTGTAGCCTGTGGCACTGGTACAGAGCCCTTTGGAGGCTCACTCGTCCCATGGTGTGCCCGTCGGGGTGTTGGGGAGGGGAGGAGGGGACGCGTCCAGGCAGGATTCTTGGAGAGCAGCTGATGTAGCGTAGTGCTAGCTGCAGGAATTGCTGATCCTTCTGAAATTCCCAACCTCTGGTTCCCAAGTGCCTCAGCAGGGCCTTCTGCAAAGAGGTGATGGTTTCGGCGTGGGACGCCGGGGTCACTGGGGACACTGGGGATTGTTCACAGCGGTCAAACCACTGTAAAGAGTGTGGAGATCTCTTCTTTTCTTTAGATTGCTTTAAAGCTTTCTTATTTCTCACTATTTGACAGAGTTTTTATAAAGTGAGTATCATGTGTCTTTCTGACTGGGCTGTTTGTACTGGGTATTTCCAAAGCTGCTTTTGATCTTCCTCTCCATAAAACACATGACACCAGGAAGATGTTTTGGTATAAACTGTTTAACAAACGGCTTGCAAAAGATGTCAGTCCTCCCAGGGCTCTCTCCCTGGCTGCTGCTCTGCGTGTTACCCGCTGGGCAGGGTCTGTCCCCCGCCGGAGACCCTGCCCGGGGTGTGGGCATTGGCTTTGTCTCCCTGGGCGAGCAGGGACTGGTTAAACTTTTACTTGGCTTTGTCACTGGGTCAGTTGTGTTTCCACAGCCCTGTTGGGTTTTATAGCTGTTCTTGACAGGTTGATTTATGAACATCCTCTTTTCACATGTTACATACAGGGGACTGTGCCCGGCTATGAGGTGCTGAGGTGGAAGGGAGCATCGCGCGCGGCCGCTGGCCCTGCCCGTTGGGACTGTACAGAATGGAGACCAAGGAAGAGAAGAAGGAACGCAGACAAGGCTATTTCGCTCGGTAAGGCTACAGGCTTCATTTCAATGTTGATTATAATATGGAACTCCTCGTTCTGCCTTTTTCACAAGGCTTTGTGAGGTTTCAGGTATGTCTATAAATGAAACCCATGCTGCGTTGTGTGTCTGGAAAGTGCTGTCCCTGCTGTGTCCCCAATGTCGCAGTGGTGATTTTTTCCTTTTGGGTAGTGGAGATGAACTCAAGTTGTTATTGTTTGTAACACAAAACTGCCCTTGGGTACTCAGTTGCAAATTGCACTGCGTTTGAGCTTCTGGCATCCAGTTCCTGAAGGGTGTTTATAGAAACAAGCACATCTAAAACATAAACATGACTAAACCTAAAGTTTATCTGATTTCAGATGAAGCCCAGACTAAGTTGCATTATCTCATGGGATAAGATCAGCTTAGAAGGGGTGAGCTGCATAGACTGTATCATCTTTATAAATAAAAACAATGTGGTTTTGTTCAATCATTTTTATTATTTGATTGGTGATTCTTAAGAAATAAGTGATGTCGGTTTCCTAAAAACTTGTCTGTGTTAATATAGCAAGTCTGTAATCCTCTCTGAGCTGCCACGTACAAGAACCAAAGCTCCCTTACTCTTGGGGGGACAGGAGGGGAGGAAATCAGAATGAAAACCAGCTTTGACTCAGAGATACTTTCTGCACTGTTGGAGAGGAGAAGCATTTACTGTCTTCCCTCTGTACTAAGTGTTACTGAAGCTGGGCTGAAGCCCTGGCCCTGGTGTGTTCCAGACACACGGAGACCTGCCTGTCGCACACTGGGCAGTGAGAGGAGGAGCTGCAGCACTTCTCTGGTGCTGTTCAGGCGTGTGTGGTGGTGGCTGGAGGCTTGAGGAGGTTTTGTGGTGAACGACATCCATTAATGCTGGGTAATTTGCTTCCCTTTGGAGAAATGCAATTATGTTGATGCTGACTGGAAGGACTGTTGCTGTTTGGGAAGGGGAATAAACAAGGGCACCTATAGCAGAGGAGGGAGATAACAAGTGGGGTAAAGGGATTGTACTAAGACATAAGTAATTTCTTGTTAAGGAAGGCTCAGGTTTGAGAGGTGTCTGAGTTAGATGCTTTAGAACTGAAGAGTGTGTCAAGTCCTTTTGGAATGCTGTCTGCTGAGCAAAACAGAAAAGCCACAAGAGGCTTTCAGCAAAGTCCTTGACATTTTGTTTAGTCTGTTTTGCAGCTTTCCTGTGTCATCTATGGCTATTCTCTCTTAAAAATTCACAGGGGCAGTGTGTCCTGTGCGGGCACAAGACATTAGGCAAGGGTCAAAAAGACCTGAAATCGGTTCTTAGCTCCAGCACTTACTTGGAATGTGAGTCTGGGGACATCGTCTGTCTCTTTCCCTCCTGCCTTGCATCTTTTTCCCTTGCGTAGGCTGCAGGCCCTTAAATGAAATTCCTGCTGTAGGCAAACCCCAGTGTGATTTCTACAAGAATGTTCTTGCAGACCCTCAAGTCAGGTTTTAACAGCATCTGCAGCAGGTGAGAAGGTGGATGCCCCGCTTACCTTCAGGAGTGCTGTCTGTGTGCGGGCAGGGACAGGAGCAGCACTGCATTTGCATCTCCTTGGTTTAGCCACCAAAGTCCAGCCCCCTCCCCCTGGCACACGGGGCCCTGGCCTCTGGCTGGTGAATGGTTTGAGTGCGTTGCCTGATGACCCATGGACATGTCAGATGAGAACCTGAGAGGAACAAGCAGCTCATATTCCCTTTGGTACAATGTCCTTACCTGGTTTTTTAAACTTTTTAAAATTTAGCTTTTGAGTTGATGTAGATGAGGTTCCCAGCTTAGCTGCTTGATGGAGGGACACTGGGACAATTTGGTCGGGCGTGTGCTTTGAAGTTGCCGTCAAGTTTGGTTGTTTTGTGTTTTAGAATCTGTGGATACCTGTTCTGGGCTGACACGGAGGCACCTGAGTTCAGGAGTTCTGGCCTCATGCTGTGTGTGTGATGTCAAACCCCAGCCCTTCCTGACGGCTGGGGCTCCTGGTACTGAGCTCGGAGCAGCCCCAGCTGATGACCCAGCACAAGAGCCCCTCTGCTTCCATTACTGGGGGGTTTCCCCCTTATCTCTTACCGCTGTTACGTTTTGTGAGCCTGAGATAGTAATAGTATTTACAAAATTACAAAATCTGAACTAGTGTAGTAAACATTCTTATGAGACAAGGGCTCTCCCCACACCTTTTCGTGAGTCTCGTTCTGTTTGCCTGTCCCCAGATGTTCCTGGAGAAGACCCTACTGCTGACCAAGAAGGAGAATGGGAAAAGGGTTAGAGTTTTTGCCAGCAGGAGGGAAAACTGCTCCCTGCCAGGAGGGTAGGAAACAGGGCTCTGCTCCACCCAGCGCTGGGAAGAAGAATCCTGGTTAGAAAGGAGAAACCCATCTATTCAATGCTGATGAAATAAAATGTTTTATAGCTACCGTGTGGACTATATAATGAAAACATACAAATTTTAATAGAAAAATTCACTCCTTAATGTGAGGGGAAAGATTATTGTGGTGTCAACAAGGACGAAGGCATGGACTGAGGAATGGGAGATGATGGCTCTTTCCGTTGAGTTCCTGCTCATGAAAGCCAGGTTCTCCCTTGGCAGGGCCAGGGAGCGTGGGGATGAGCAGTGGCCTCACTCCCTGGCCACAGCCCCAGGTGTGTGGCTTCCTTCAGAAGGCTTTTGGCCTTCTGGCCAGTGAAATCCTGTCCCTCCTGGACAGCTTTGGCAGGGGGGTGCCGGTGACTGGTTCCACTGGCACTCGTTGGGAGGTTGGCTGGGGAACCCCAAGGTGTCTGCAGTGGTCAGTGTGGGGAGTTAGGGGTGACAGACCACCACCAACTGCTGGAGAGGGGGCAAGGTTAACACGAGATACCTCTTTGCATCTCTGTCCCCCACATTTAGTGTTGTAAATAAGCTGTTTTAAACATTTATCCTTTCAAATGTAGAATTTTTTTTCTGCAGAGAGTGCCACGCAGCCATTGTATCTTTCCAGTGCGGATCTTCATGGTGTGAGTGCCTCAGTTTCCCGGGATTTCTTCCCCTCCCTATGGCAAATCAAGCTGAAACAAAGCCCTCACCATCCATGTTTGCTTCTTACCAAACGCTCCCTTACCCACTGCGTTTTTTGGTAAAGGGCTTATTTTTCGCCTCTGTTGGCAAGAAAAGAAATAAGTAACTTTTCAAATAAAATTGAAATCTCTACAAAGCTTTTTAAAGACCAATTTAGATTCCTTATGCAGATAAGATGTTACAGCTCGTGGGAGTTCAACAGGCAAGAGGTAAAAGAGTAAAATGCAAGCATAAATTTATCTTATGCAATAGGTCCTTATTTAAGACTGCTACTCCTACTTAAAGACTATTCTGTGCAGTTAAGTTTTCTTGCCTAACTCTTCAAAGCCTGTTCTTTAGGCTCTTCTCTTGACTTCTGTGTCATGAGCTCCCGAGTGGACCCGTATTACCCCAGCTCCTGCAGAGACCTGTCTCCTCTCACTGGGAAGTCTGCCCTGATACCCAGCAAGTCTGAAAATAATGGCACAGTGTAATACAGATGTATGACAGCACATCAGTGGGTACTGGGTCCCTCCCAGTACTGTGACTTTTAGTGCTTTTCATTGTGCCCTTGGACCCAGGTACAACTTGCCATTTCCCCCTGCCCGACCTGCCCTTGTCTTCCCTTTCTCCTTATGGAATGGAGAACCTCTGGGGTTTTCCCTGCCCTTGGCGTAGCCTCAAGGTCAGAGGTATTTCACCTCATGAAATCAATAGCCATTAACATTTTAACTTAATTTAAAAAGAAATTTCCGAAGTGAGTGATGATGTGTCCCATAGAAGGCATTGCCTTGGCTATAGATTGGTCGCCTGGAATGCTGAGTGTACAGCTGGGAACTGGAATTGCTTTGCTGTGCTGTTGTGTGAGACTGGAAAAATTTGGACAGGGAGCTCTAGGAGGTGAGAAATGGTGAGGGGAGAGTTTGAGTCATTTATTGAAGGAATAACAAAAAGGACTCTTAGTGTCAAGTTTTCTGTGTCTCTTAACCTTCCTCGCTTGAGTTCCTTTCCATGCTTTGTACGATTTATCTGCTGTGTGTCAGGTAGATCTGTACTGCTTTCTTAGCAGAGAACAACAAATAACTAGTGCTTTATTTGAACTGCTTTGCAACAAGTTGACAGAGGTGTTTACATGAATTTTATAAATAGTTACGTCTCCAAGTTGTGGTGACCTTAATCTGGAGAATGCTGCGTGTGATGGTGAGATGAACTGTACAGCTGAGTTTTACACAGATGAACTGTATAACTGAGACTTACATTGAATGATTTTTTAAATAGTTTCCAGGGGAATTACGAATTTTATTTCTCAGTCTCTTTTTTTTTGGTTGCCACTGAGAGCCAGATTTCTGAAGTCAAAGACGAAGTGCTGTATTAGGGGAAAATATTATCACTGGGATTTGGTGCCTTTGAGTTTATTCAATTTACGTTGGTCTTGTTACCTTCATTCATGGGCTGACGGGCTCCAGGCACTCCTTTGGTCAGTCTTTTGCATATTACAGACTGACAGGTGTATAGGCATCTCATTTGGAATTTTTCTGGCTTTATTCTGTTTTATTCCTGTAGTCAGTTATTTGTACATTTCATGTTTTTTATCCCTGTGGCTGTTAAAGACACAAGAGGAGGATGCAGTGGGCGCAGAGGATGCCGGTGGCTGGGGAGGAGGGAAGCCCAGCCCAGGAGCAGACACACAGACGTGCTTTCTGAGGGCACCTCCTGCACCTCAGACTCACAGGTTTTTCTGTTGAGTGCTCTTCTTGTTGGCCAGACTCCTTACATCCTGGCAACAGGCTTTGAATGCTGGGTGCTCCTCAGGCCCCCGTTTCTCCAGCAGTCGTCTCCTTGCCATTGTTTGTGCTCTGCAGAGCCCGAGTGTTGGTGTTTATTCAGGTTTCCTGTAGCACTCATAATTTATTTTTTGCTTTTAGAAGGAAAAGTTTCCACA